TGTTCATCTCATGTTCTTTGTGGCAAAAACGACATTTACATAAACTCCCCATACTACTGTATGTTTCCATGTTGGTCTTAGGGGTATTAAATCTGAATTAAATCTAGCTGCTGTAAGATTTCAAAACTCACTTCAATATTCTGGAGTTGAAGCTGTTCCAAAATGTTGTACTTACTCAAGACATCATATAGTCCTTCAATTAACCTTAACTGTATTAATTTCTCTTCTATAGACATCGGTGCTGTACCCAACTTTTTGAATTCACAGTACCTCAATGCTTCTTTTAGCCTGTGAATGTACTGTCTAATATTTTCATATTTTTGACTGATTTCAAGAAACTTTGTCTCCCCAGCTATGACTAGTTTCTTTTTTGGACATACATTTTCTTGTACAATGTTGGTAATTTCTTCAAATGTCAAGTCTTCTCGCATCTTTGGATATACCATCACAGAGATCTTTTTTATGACCTTACAACCCGCTGATGCTAGACGTAAACCTGTTACTTCATTTACTCCTCGTCTATATTTGCTGTCACTCAATTTCTTGACTGTGAATCATCTCATCTAAGTCTCAACATGCTCAGAATCCTCTATGTTAGATATCCTGTCATTGATGCCATGTTGTTGCATTGTGTAAAGTTCTCACAAGTAAACACTGTAGTCAGGGAAAAATAACTCCACTCACGAGTGTAGAACTTTCCCAATTATACACAATTTAATTTGCATATCACTGCACTAACATCAAACAAGTTACAGAAGTTTAAATATATGTGTTTTAACAGAGGATGGAAAATGCAACACTGAAATCTGAACATACATTGGACTAGTGCAAGATGTATTCCAGAAGCAAAGCAATGTGCTGAGAAACAAAAAAAATGTTAGAAACAAAGAAAAGAGTGTTAGATTGCTATGTGATATCTGGAAAATCTCCCCACGGATGAGGAGAAAAGTGAAGGCAACAGAAATGTGGTTCTACAGAAGGATACTGAGAATTCCATGGACAGAGTAAGGAAGTAATGAGGAAGTCTTAAAGAAAATGGCAACAAAACGAACACATGCTTAAAATCAGGAAGTACTAACTGAAATTCTTTGAACGTGCAAGGAAGAAGGGCTTGGAAAACTTCCCCCCCTCACAGAGCATATTGAGGGTCATCAAGATAGAAGACAGAGAGTCACTTACCTGATATGCTTGTGTGAATGGATAGTAGAACAGGAGCCTTAACAAAAGCTAGGGCCACAAGCGATAGGAAGTCTTGGAGAGCCATAAATGCCCATATCCTGAAATGAAGCAGTACACAAAGGAAAGATTCTGTAATAAAAGATGTTTGCTTGTGAGTGTATACATACATATGTGTGTCCAGTTTAAACTCCAAAACTACAACATTTAGACCCTGTAAACCATATATATTCTGTTTCAGCATATTTCAAGGAAGTGCAGAATATTCATATTTCAATGAACTGCAGAATATGTTATACTTTTTATTTAATAAAGGAACTTTTTAAAAAAAAATTATTATTTATAATTTACTTCATATAAAAAAACACAAATATAACAAAATGAAACTTTTAACATAAACAAGTTTGTTTTTAGTTACATACATAAACCTTCCATGAAGCATGCAATAATGAAATATATATTGTAGTTTTGGAGTTTAATCCAGACACATGTCCACTCAAAAAATTTAGAACAGAGTTAACAATTCTTTTTATATATTCAAATAATGACAAAAATATTAAAATGTAATGAATTTGCGCATTACTGGTGTTGTTTTATTACACACGGGCAATGCTAGGTAGCCCTACTGGTTAGATAATAAAACAGGCGTGTGAGTTCTAAAGAAAAAAAATGTAATTAGTTTGAATTTCTGCTAAAACTATGAACAAGAACTTTTTTCCCTATTTATTTGACTATAGTTAATTTATTTTTTAAAATTATACTGAAACTATTATTATTATTATATATATATATATGAAAAATTTCTCAGTGTTAACCTGTAGAAAAAGACAATATTTATATATATCTATTTACACACACACACACATATATATATATATATATATGCTCAGTTTAATAACTTTTTGAATAAAATAGAGAAAGTCTATTGACTTAGCAATTCCATTCATTGCCAGGGAGTATTACTAGGTAAAAATAATGTTCTTATTTTGAAATTCTGAAAATAAGCATTATAATTATGACGCATATTCTTATTAGTCTTTATGTATATTTTCTGGCTTTTTACCAACTTATTTTCAGATCGGTCCATTTTTACAATTCATTAAAAAAAATGTCTCAAATATGAATATGGAATTCAAGAAAAAAAAAAGGAAATATAGCACTGATGATTCAGTTTTTTTTTTTATCATATTTTTATTTCTACTTAGTCATATTTCTACTTGAACTCAAAGGATGGCCCCATTATAATACAGAATTTTAAAATTTATTTTATAATTCTGCTTGTTCTTCTGTAAATAAGTTATCTGTATTTGTCTTTGTTTACAAATGTTAAATTTGAAACTGCTTTCAATAGTGAAAACTACATACTTCTATTTATATCACAATTCATAATGCAGCATTGACTTCTCTGTATACACAGTCTGTGTGTGTGTGTGTGTATATATATATATATATATATATATATAGAAACAATTCTATATGCCAAAAATACATTAAAAAAAATGTTAAATTTAAATTTCTCATTTTCCTTCATGTGCATGTGTAGTCACATCAATGTTACATGAAGTCCTAAAGGATGAAACACATCACATAAAAACTCAACCATTGTCAGTTTTTTTTACCTAAAAATATATATATATGCAAACAAGTTTGATTAAAAAGAACTGACAAAGTCTGAATTAAACTGGTTTGAATGAGTACTTGCTCCCTAAATATACCTTTTTATATATATATATATATATAATTGACAATACAAGCATACTCGACCATGAATATATATAAAGATTAAACTCATAAAATGGTAACTAATATAAAAATGTGCAGTATAAGTCCTCAATACTGTAGAGGTTAAACATGAACATTATATATATATATATATATATATATATATATATATATATATAGATAGATAGATTGAGAGAGAGAGTCAGTTTCATACCTCAAGCAAATTACTTCTCTACTGATGAGTGGATTTCAGAATTTATGAAATAATAGAGATGAATATATGTATATATATATATTGGAGGTTTTTAAAGGTGTTTACTGTGTATATTTCTTCTTCAGGTAAATATTGGGAGCTGCAGATTCTTAGTATTCTCAGATTCAAAGGTAAAATATATTGTGGTGTGATGTTAAGTTTGTGTGTGTGCATATATACATACACACACAAGAGTGTATTATTTTTGTGAGACAAGGGAACAAGAAAAAGCCATGTCAGAAATTGCTATTCTTTTGACATTCTCAGAGTCATTCCTCAAAATCATTTTTTCATATGTGAATTACTGAATTCATATCCATTTATGGCAGAAACAAAAATATGATCATAATAAATTTCTGCTCATTTGCAATTACTTTGTGTAGTGTTATCACAATGCACAAAAAGAAAGATGGTATATTGCAGTGTACAACTATCTTCCCTACATGTCTATGCATCAAGTATTGAATTCTGATCCCATTTATTATAGCTTGAATCTATCTATTTTGACATAGAATGCACAAAACAGTATTGCTTAAAATATTAATTAAACAATTTATTCCATTTACTGCACCCTACAGATAACGTGTTAAGAAAAACTTCTTTCAATTGTAAATGTTAGAGAGCATAAGTCCATCTGGTTTAATATGTCTAGTTAAAAAGCCAAGTCAAATGGACCTGATCAAAGAGACAATATGGCAGACACATTGTAGTGCATCATCATCATTCCCTTCATATTTCATTGGTTAGATTTAAGATCCACTCCTAAGAGGATGCTACCATGATTACTACAGTCTTAACTTGCACAAAACTAGCATTAACAAGTATCTTCCCTACATATCCCTATAAACTGTGCCTCTTACTCTGTAACTGTCTACTGGGGCTAACTCTTGCAGGTTGTATGGGGTGAAGATTATGGTAAAAAAAAATCTTTTGAGGTTTTAGAACTATATCCATTGCTATAAAAATTTATAACTCTTTTCTTAGTGTTTTTTCTTTAACATTAACTAAGTAATGCTTTTTATTTATTAACTAGTCATAAACATGTGCAGCCATATTGGTCATAGGTGCAGACTTTAAAACATAAAAGAGTTTATATTTATATCCTGTGACAAGTCAGGCATGTAAGTGGGTTTTAGTATATTGCACAAGAGAAAATAAATGATATCGTTCTGTTGTGTGTAATCATTATAGGATTAAGAAAAGAAAGTTTTTGTGTGTAATCATTTGGTAAAAGAGAAAGAAAGAATATTCCTTTGTGTGTTAGTGTAAGTATACAATGTAGATTTAAGAGAAAAGGAAAATCCCTTTACATTTATGTGTGTGTATCTATTTTTTAATGTGTAAGCATTTAAAGTAGAAAAAAATGAGTGTGTGAGAGGGAGAGACAAGTATAAAGTGTGTGAATGTGTGTACTTTTTAAAATTTTTACATGTAAATATTCTCTATGTGTGACGAAAGAGAGAGAGCACGATACATTTTGTATGTGCCATTAATGGGACAAATTTTATGCTACAGACAAGTAATTTGGGGGGTGGCAAAGCATATGTGGGTGTGTGTACCTATATGAAAAGTGAATATATAATAAAAAGTGTGTAAGTGAGAGAGATATCAGGTGTGTGCTTGACTGGCATGAAAAAGACCAATGAAATATGACAGGATAGCAGATGGGCTGGGGCCCTTGCCTATTTCCAACAACCCCCTTATCAACTCCGAGGGTCTACAAATGCCACAACCCCACCCCTCCACTCTGACAAAGACTTAATGTGCATTCATGTCTGTTTAGGTATACATGTATTTATAATACCTAACCTGATCACTAGTGGCTGTAGCAGTGCACTGATTACAGTTGTCAAAAGGACAGGTAAATCTGGTCTTTATCATTTATAATTGAGGAGAAAAGGGTAAACAAGGAAAAGGTGGGGAAGGGATTAGAACAGAAAGAGAAAAAAAAAGAAAGAAAAGGTGAGAGAGAGAGAAAGCTGGAAAAGAAAATGAGAGAGAGAGAGAGAGAAAGCTGGAAAAGAAAATGAGAGAGAGAAAGAGAGAAAAGCTGGAAAAGAAAATGAAAGAGAGAGAGAGAGAAAAGCTGGAAAAGAAAATGAAAGAGAGAGAGAGAGAGAGAGAAAGCTGGAAAAAGAGAGAGAGAGAAAGCTGGAAAAGAAAATGAAAGAGAGAGAGAGCTGGAAAAGAAAATGAAAGAGAGAGAGCTGGAAAAGAAAATGAAAGAGAGAGAGAGCTGGAAAAGAAAATGAAAAGAGAGAGAGAGAGAGAAAGCTGGAAAAGAAAATGAAAGAGAGAGAGAGAGAGAGAGAAAGCTGGAAAAGAAAATGAAAGAGAGAGAGAGAGAGAGAGAAAGCTGGAAAAGAAAATGAAAAGAGAGAGAGAGAGAGAAAAGCTGGAAAAGAAAATGAAAGAGAGAGAGAAAGCTGGAAAAGAAAATGAAAGAGAGAGAAAGCTGGAAAAGAAAATGAAAGAGAGAAAAGCTGGAAAAGAAAATGAAAGAGAGAGAAAGCTGGAAAAGAAAATGAAAGAGAGAGAAAAGCTGGAAAAGAAAATGAAAGAGAGAGAGAAAAAGCTGGAAAAGAAAATGAAAGAGAGAGAGAAAGCTGGAAAAGAAAATGAAAGAGAGAGAAAAGCTGGAAAAGAAAATGAAAGAGAGAGAAAAGCTGGAAAAGAAAATGAAAGAGAGAGAAAAGCTGGAAAAGAAAATGAAAGAGAGAGAGAAAGCTGGAAAAGAAAATGAAAGAGAGAGAGAAAGCTGAAAAGAAAATGAAAGAGAGAGAGAAAGGGAAAAGAAAATGAAAGAGAGAGAGAAAGCTGGAAAAGAAAATGAAAGAGAGAGAAAGCTGGAAAAGAAAATGAAAGAGAGAGAGAAAGCTGGAAAAAGAAAATGAAAGAGAGAGAGAAAGCTGGAAAAGAAAATGAAAGAGAGAGAGAAAGCTGGAAAAGAAAATGAAAGAGAGAGAGAAAGCTGGAAAAGAAAATGAAAGAGAGAGAGAAAGCTGGAAAAGAAAATGAAAGAGAGAGAGAAAGCTGGAAAAGAAAATGAAAGAGAGAGAAAGCTGGAAAAGAAAATGAAAGAGAGAGAGAAAGCTGGAAAAGAAAATGAAAGAGAGAGAAAGCTGGAAAAGAAAATGAAAGAGAGAGAGAAAGCTGGAAAAGAAAATGAAAGAGAGAGAGAGAGCTGGAAAAGAAAATGAAAGAGAGAGAGAGAGAGAGAGAAAAGCTGGAAAAGAAAATGAAAGGAGCAAGAGAAGAGAACAAGAAGAAAGGGGTAGAAAGAAGAGGAGTAGAAAAGAAACCAAAGAGGGTAAGTAGAGAACAAAGGAGTGCAAAAAAAAAAACAAAAAACAACAACAACAAAAAAAAAACACTAAAGTTGAGAACAGACAGAACAGGAGAAGGAGAGAAAAAGAGAACAAGAAAGCATTTCCACCCCAACTACTCACACCTGCCATCCATTGATGAATGGCTGGGTGGGCCTAGTGCTAGGGTTTATGTCTGCCTATGTCTGGGGTGCCCCTGCTACCTGGATAATTGTGTAGAGTTTATTCACAGCCCACCTGTCAAGGGCAGGTGTGTTATTTGTATCTAAGGTCTGAAGTTTACTGTTAGACAACCAGTGGAAGATCTGGTAAATTCTCCACCTACACAGTAAATAGAAAAAAAAATTTCATACACACACACACACATATTTTTATGTATTATATTCTTATTCTGTAAACTTAGAACACATGTTTTCTATAATTCTACTTTTCAAAATATTTTTTCTTTTTACAAATGGAATTATTCTCTTTAAAAGAAAAAAAAGAATTTAAAGAGTTTCTTAGATCAAATATTAACAGAATCTTTTAAACTATTCATAGATGCTTACTTTGTCTTAGCTAAGGACATGGATGATAATGGTTCTCCACAGCTTCCAACTTCAAGCCTCATATATATATATATATATATATAAAAAAATAAATAAAGGTGGAAACTGAGGTCAACAGTCTGTTTCATGCTTGAATTCAATCTTCAGACCATGTGAGTGTGTGCCTGTTTAATCAATTCACCTCAAGCTAGGTGATAATGCCACTAAGATGCAAGGGGCTACTGGGAGTGAAAGGGAATGAAAACATTTCAGAAGAAAATGGATACCTGGTCCTAAATAGGAAACAAGGGATAAACTTTTACACCTGTTCAAAAGACCTGTGGAACCAGATGATAGGCAAATATCTCTACTCCAATTGAGGAAAGAAAAAAAATTTAGTTAATAATATTACAGAGATGTTAAAAGTATAAAGTTGTAGTCTTTAGAAAGAACCTGAAACCCAATCCTAAACAATGGATAAGTCTCTACTCCTGTTCAAAAGACTAGGGAAGAGAGCGAACCGGGCAATAGGCAAATTTATTTACTTCTATTAAGGAAAGAAATTTTTTTTTTGTCTTGACTATTTATACATGTTGTTCATTGATGTATTATGGATAACAAGGTCTATTGTATTATCCTAATGGTTATTGAGTAAAGTTTTATCCCTATTTATTGGGTAAGTGGTAACAGTTATGTTTCAAATTATTCTAGAGGTTATTGAGTAAGAATAATTGTGGGTCCAAAATGCAGTTATTTGAAGCCATTTTATATTAACTTTTTACTCGTTATTATTGATTAATTATTTATTTTTGATTATTATTATATTTACTTGTCTTTATGTATTTGTAGTTTGTTAATTTGTTTATCATTTACTTAGTTTTATATTTTTTGTTTATTTGCTTTATTTTCAGATGTTGATTATCATATTTGTTTAGTTTAAAGCATTGGCTCTGTTGAAAGTATGTAACATTATCTCTTGTATATAGTGTGTATATTTGAATTTACATGGTGGTATTATGTGTATATTTGAATTTTCAAGCTGGCAAAGTGTTCATTTATAGTTTCCAATTTTTAAATAACAGTAAAAATTTGTTTTTGTGTCTGCAATTTCCTTGATAAGTTCTGATCATTTATTTAGTTTATTTGCATTGGTGTGGGTAGGATATTATTGATCATAAAAGGAAGACTAAGGATACTCAAAAACTGAATAAAAAAAAAAAAACATACATACATTGAATGCTGGGGTTAATAAAAGTGCTTGATGCAATATAACAAAGCTATAAACTATATCTTAATAAATATACATATTTATCCACACCAGTAGCACGATTGAGGTGCATAAAACTCGCAGTCATGCTACTGTTGAGGAGATTATATATATATATATATATATATATATATATATTTTGTTGAATATGATGCACAAGGATGAATATTTTATAAAAAATTTTATTCAGTTTTTATTGTATGCTTAATTTTTCTTTTATAAGGATTAAGAACATGCCATTTTCTGACTAAACAAAACCTGTAAGGAAATTAGAAAAGCTGAACAACAAAAATATGAACTTCTTGTCCATCACATTCAAGGAAATATATATAATAGAAAGATTGCTACCCAAATAAATAAATATTATATTTAATAGGGTTATGATGTTTTTGTAATTCTATCTTCCTGTATTATAAATCGATAAACTTTTGTTTAAAAATTATGAAAAAGGCAATTTGTTTTAGTTCTTGAAAAACGTCACCCCAAACTGAAAATTTGATTTTACCATATATGCCGGTGGAAATCAAAATATTTCAGGAGCTTTATTTTTCAATTTGCTAATGAAGTAATAGCAATAGCACTTATGCTATAGCTATAAACAGTTAAATGTGTTAAAAAAAATACATAACTTACAAATAAAGAAAACAAGTTCTTGAAGATTTCAGAAAGTCATAGTACTACTAATTTATGATTTCAGAAATTTCATGTTGGGGGTGAATTTATTTTTTAAATGACCCTTCCTTATTTTTCAACAAAAGTTTATCGAATTATGATGCTGCAAATCAATTATTTTGCAAAAAATCATAACCCTTATATATATATATATATATATAAAATGATAACAGTTCTTTAAAACTTGTTTGTGTGTGTTTGACATATTTGTTGATAGTCAATATTTGATTAACAACATTGATCAGTTTTTTTTTGCCTGATAATCAAATATTGATTACCAACATTTTTCAGAGTTACTTTCATCATTATACACATATATGTGGAATATCAGTTCATTTGTAAAAGTTATGAACCTTTCTAATGCACTTATAAAAAATTGAAATGGAAAATTTATTTATTTGTATTATATGTGTGTACTAGTTGATCTGTTTTGTTAGATTTTTGTATATAGTTTTATTGTCATCATGTATGGGTGGCGGAACAGTTATCAGCACAGAAAAGGCAACCAACAGGCAGAGTTCAAATACTGGCCAAGGCAGTTATATTTATTTTGTGTTAATTCTCTGCTATCCATCCCAACTAGAGGTAAAATAAGGAAAACTGGGTTCGGTAGCTTAAGTGGTTTAAGAGAAGGACAACAGTGAATTCAAAAACCTGCCAACAAATAATGGGTTAGTAATGTTGAATAAGAGCCATTAATCCCCGTGTTTTAAAAACCAGCAGAAAAATTTGTTCTTGCAATGGATCAAGAAAAAAAGGCTTATATAAATAACATTTATGATGGATCCATCATTTAGAAATAAAACTGAGCTGGACATGGCTAATACTGAAGGTTAATTAGTTGCCATCAAAATTAGCATCCATAATTTTAAAGTACGTGTCAGCTGTAGTTAAAATGGTTTAAAAAAAAATGATTGTGATTGCTTTGGCAATTTACCCATACACGCATGGACTCTCCCAGCTATAAGTAGGAGCAGGTACTACCTTTTGGTGAGGGAAATTTCCAGCAGTCGGCTCTGACAGTCGGACTGAACATTCTTGCTGTAACACTCATTTGTATATGTTTGTATTACTGTTTCTGTTAATATATTTGTTTAACTCAATTCCTCTCTGTGTATTTATTTCCGGCCTTAACAAGGCCACAACAGTGATACAGGGTGTGGCAGAAATACCTCCCACATAATGGTAAGGCATTAGTGGTAAGAGTGTATTCATCTAGCTAATGTCTTACCATTATGTGGGGAGTGTTTCTGCCACACCCTCTAGAAGACAACCTATTCTGAATAAAGAAATCTTGAAATTGAAATTAATTTACATTTATTTTTATATCCTTTTTGGTAAAACACAATTTCTGAAATCTTTAATAGGTACAAACTTGAAATTTTGTATTGTAATGAAAGCACCCAAGTTTTTTCCCAAGTGGAAATATAATTCAATAAAAATCAGTCAAAAAAATTTGAAATACCAGTGCTATATTTTATTTTATTGAATTTCATATTGAAATTTGAGATTTTATTGGTAACTGTTTTTTTTTTTTAATTCTTGAGTAAAATATATTAAGTTTTTGACTGGCAACCTCCTTTGAATTAAATAAAATTTTGTCTGGTCCCCAACCTCAGTTGTTGAATCCAATCTATCTTGGAATGTATATTTATTTTGTACAATTACAAAGGCTGAAGGGGATGTGGGGAAAGGCTGGTCCTCACTGACTATCCTAGTCAACCACAATCACAGCCCATTCAATACAATATACTCAATCACCACAAGAACATGTCCATCACCAACCAATCCTACAAGTACCACAATACTACATATTCACAAGGGACCTACAAAACACTCCATGATGTAAAAATTTATGTCTTTTTTTGGTATTTTTTCTTTTTCATTTTTTTTTATTTTACAAAAATATATAAAAAAATTATATAATGAAAATTGTGGGGAGAAAATGAACCTGAAAACAAAACTATGTTGTAGAGTGATTTCACAGTGGAGGCTTGTATTTGTACTAAGTCGGTCCTAAAATAGGTTTGACATACAAAATGTTAGGAACTTGATATAATAGGTAATGACTCAGAGAAATCTAGTGGTGGTCGCTGATACTTTAATATCCGACTAACGGTCGTCCAACATTGACTGACTGACTAACCCACTGAGCGACTTCTACTACTCCTACTTATTATAGGTGGGAGAGTCTATTAACTATAGAATAGGTGTGTTCCACTATAACAGAATGAAACAAAAATAAACTAGAATAAAACAGATGTTAGTAGGACCCATCCAACCCTCAAAATAATCAGAGTGGCCACTGTATTCTGCGATTCAACAGAATCAAGCAGCACACTCACTAATGAAGTGGGGAATGAAAAATTAAACAGCAGAGTGGAGAAAAAAACAATGTCTGACCCAACCAAAATGTAAAAAAAGAGAGTGCACA